TACCTATAATAAATATCAATAGTTTATTATCTTCTTAGAAAGAAAATCTAGACTTATATCTATAAAACTACTTAGAACTAAAGAAGCAAAAGAAGTTAATACTGCTATTCTAGAATATATAAATAAGAATAATATAAATAAGAATAAGATAAAAGACTTCAATATAAATGACAATCTAGAATTTAATAATAATACTATAAATTATACCTATATAATTAAAGGGATAAATCATAATATAAAAGTACCTTATACTCACAAGCCTAACGGTATAATAGAAAGAGTAATAAGGACTATAACTAATAAAATAAGAGCTATGCTTTTACAAGCAAATTTGCCTTTATATTTATAGGGAAAAGCTACTTTAACAGTAATAGATCTATATAATATAACCCCTTATAAAGCTCTTAACTATAAAACCCCTTATAAAATAGGTAATAATAATATAAAGCCTAATATTAATAATATAGTAACTTTTAGATCTATATATTACTATAAGAATAAGGATCCTAAGATAAAAAAGCTAGATAATAAGGCTATAAAAGCTATAGTACTTAACTATAGAAATAATATATATAAAGTATATGATTTTCAAAAGAAAACTTCCTTTTAGACTAGAGATATAGTTATTCTAGAAAATTAGTTTATACCTCCTACTATTAATAATAATAATATAAATATAAATAATAATATAAATATAAATAATAAAGAAAATAGTAGTAATAATAAGATATCTCTATGTGACTATAAAAGTAAAAGGGAAGACTTGAATCCTAGAGGTATAAATATAAAGCCGATAAATAATAATAATATAACAAATAATAATAATTATAATAATTACAATTGTAATAATTGTAATAATTATAATTGTAATAATTATAATAATAATAATAAATCTAAGATAATAGTAGAAATTCCTAAGCAGGATAATAATAAGCTTAAAGACTATAAATGGGTAATAAACCAAGAAAGCGCTTTATATACTATAAAAGACTGCCCTATAATTAAACCAATACTTTCCACTATAAATAATCAAAATAACAAAATAAATAGGTTTAATAAAGCTATATATATCCTTACTATAACAACAGATAAAGACCCTACTACCTATAAAAAGGCTATAATCTCTACTTCTAGAGATAAATAGATTCAAGCAATGGTTTTAGAGGTTAATAACTTACATAATATGCATACTTAGATAATACTTCCTCTACCTAAAGGAATTAAGCCCTTAGGAGGAAGATAGGTATATAAATTAAAAACGGATATAAATAATAATCCGTTAAAATATAAAGCTAGGTAGGTAATACAAGGTTTTAATCAATATATAGGTATTAATTATCTAGAAACCTTTAGTACTACCTGTAAACCTAAGAATTATAAAGCTATATTTATAATAGGAATAAAGCTAGGCTAGTTTTTTTAGGCAATTTAATATCTCTAATGCCTTTTGCCATACTGATATAGATAAAGAAATATAGGTAAAATTACCTACAGGTTTCTCTTATAACTATAAAACAAATACCCTAGAATATACAGATAATCTAACAGAAAAAGCTTTATATTATAAGCTTAAAAAGGCCCTATATAGTCTAAAACAGAGCCCTAGACTCTAGTATAAGTAGTTAAGATCTATAATTATAAAACTAGGCTTTAAAGAATCCCCTTATAATAAAGGTATCTTTATAGCTAATAATAATAATATAAGAGCTATAATAGCCTATTACATAGACAATATAATAATAGTAGCTCTTATAAATAAAGATATAGAATATTTCTATAATAATATAAATAAAGATTTATAGATACAAGACTTAGGAATTCTATATACGTTTTTAGAGAACAAAATGTATATAAATAAAGCAAATAAGATCTTATATATCCATCAAACCAAATATATAAATAAAATACTAGAAAAGTATAATAAAAAAGATACTTATCCTTATAATATGCCTATAAATCTTGCTATTAAGCTTAGGAAAAATATAGGGTAAGCAACAAAAGAAGAAATAACTTAATATTAACAAAAAATAAGATCTTTACTCTTTTTAAGTCTTAAGACTAGGCCAGATATAATATATCCAGTTAATATATATGCTCGTTATATAAGTAACCCATCTAAAGAGCATTTTATTGCGCTTAATAGAATATAGGGATATATAAATAAATATCCTAATCTAGGATTAATATATAACTATAATATTAATTTACAGTTAGTTATATTTTTAGACTCTAATTAGGCTAGAGACTTAGACGATAGAATGTTTACTACTGGATATATAAGTACTTTAAGGTACTATAATATAATAAGCTAAAATAGTATAAAACAGAAGACTATTGCTTTATCTACTTGTGAAGCTGAATATATGGCTTTATATGAAGCTATAAAGGAATCTATATACCTATATAACTCTTTTTCCTATATATATAATAACTTAGGGTTAAATATAACGTTAAATAAGCCTATTATTTTAATAGATAATAAGGCAGCATAACGTATAACAGAAAACCCAGAGCTTCATAAGAAATCTAAATATATAGATATAAAATATCACTTTTCTAGACAAGCTGTCTATAATAATCAAGTCTCTTTATACCATATCTATACAAAGAATAATATAGCAGATATATTTACTAAATCTGTTAATAAAGAAGTATTTAAATACTTTATAGAGACTATAAATCTTAATAAAAAGGGGTTTTTACTTAAAGAAACTATAGATAATAAAGAAATACTTTCTAAAAAGAAAGTAATATAGCTTAAATACTAAGGTTTCCCCTTTATAAATTTTTTTTTTTTCCTTTAAGGGTTTTTAACTATAACTATAACTATAACTATTTTTCTTAAAATTTTCCTTATATAAGGTTTTTATAAGTTTTTATATAAAATAAGTTATATCTATAACTTAGATATAACTTAAGGAGGAAACTAAGAATTAAGAAGTAAAATTCTTATAATTCTTATATATAAATCTCTTTATAACTTTATAACTAAAAGTCCTATAAATATATAGTTATTTTTTCTAGATTCTTCTTGAAAAATAACCTATAAAAGTATATATTACTATATATAACTATACTAATACAAACTACTACAAACTAATGCAGTCTACTGCATATAAACGCATATACTTCTAAGCATTACATATGCCGGCGCTTATGCTTATCTACGGGCATATACGGGCATATATATACATATACGAGAAACTATAAGTACCTCTCGGCGCTTAGATATACGCTTAGATATACACTTAGATACTATACGTATCTAAGGGACTTTCTATATAACTAAGAGATATCCCCTCTACTTAGACAGTTTTTAACAACAACGAGAAAAAACGATACCTTAACGGTTAATATATATATATACCTTTTCTGTCTACCTTTATTCTTCTCTACTTTTCCTTGTGACTATTTATGAATAACCCCCTGTTATTCTTACTTTTATAATAAAAGAATAGTTTAAAAGTTATTTATAAAAGAATAAATTATAAAGTTAATTACTAAAAAGCTATAAGAAATATCTAGTCTAGTTAAAATTATTATTCTTATATCTTATTATTACCTTACTAGAACTAATCTCTTAAAGTTAGTCTTTAATAAGAACTAATTCTTAGTATATTAGTTTTAAGTTATAGACTACTTATTTATTATTAGTTCTTCTTATCTTTATATAACTTTTCTTAGTTCTTTTATTCTAAGAAAAGAATTAACGTATTTCTATACTATCTTGTATATAACCTTGTCTTATAACTACTAGGCGCTTATAAGGTAACCCTGGTTATGTTATACTTGTTAGGTCGTAACATATAGCTACTATATATAGTAAAAGTGTCTAATTAGGCCTTTTAGAGGCTATTTTAGTAACTATTACTTAGATCCTAGCGTTTATTAACTACTATAAGTTAAATAAGCTGTTTAGCTATAGTTAGTATAGTAGGTAACGTAGTAGTAGATGTATATTACCTTGTAGTAGTAAAAGAGCGTATTGCCTTAAGAGGTCTATTAGGCTATTTAGAGCTTTTAGTAGCCTAGTTAACTTCCGTTATAAAAAGGCTCTTCTACTATTTAGTAGGCCTATAAAAGTACCTAGAATCTCTAGGCTTACCTACTATAGGTCTTATATTACGTATTCTTTACTTTTAGTAGTATTCAGCTAGTATAGTAACTGTTAAATAGTTCTTTTTACTATAGGTATAATAAGGTTATTGTTATTTGGCGTAAGGATATAAGTGTTGTCTAGATAGCTAGCTATTATTCTAGGTAGTATTCGGCTTGAATACCAGGGTTAAGGGTCCAGGGTTAACCGAAAAAGGAAAAAAAAAGCGACGGCTTACCTATGTGTTTTTACTAACTGGCTTTTCGGCTAACTACTATAAAGGCTTACTTTTTCCTTAACCCTTAACCCTTAACCCTTATATACCCTATTATCTATTGTTATCCGCTTACCTCGACACGTATAGACCAGGTACAATCAGCTAACCGTCGTCCTTGCCTACAACGTCACCCCCCTCCCCTCCTTAAGATAAATAAATAGAAAAATAAAGATAAATAAATAAATAGATAGATAAATAAATAAATATATATACCTTATTTCTTATGTGCTTATATATATATATATATATACATATATAAGGCTCCTAACTGCCAGGTCGTGAAGTCCAATGATACCTAGTAACCACATACGCTTACGCCGAGTACGGTCCCAACTAACGTCAGGCTGGTCGTCAAGGTAGTAGCCCTCGTTGCTGCCTTGGAACGGGCGAGGAAGGCCCTTTCGTCACCAAGAAGCATCTCCACGTCGGGCCCTGGTCGGTTCCCGCATATAGAGGCCTCCCGGCTACCGGACAACGTGCATCTAGTACTGTTGCCGTGTATTGCCATCATCTTATTTTCCCTCGTTTATGTCGGGTAAAGGAGAGGAAGAGAGGAGGGGGTACGTGTAGGGGATAAGAGTAGGAGAAAGAGATAGAGGGGAGGGGCAAAAAAAGAAAAAGCGACGACGACCTTACCAGGACTTGAACCTAGATCTTCTCCTTAGCTGAGGAGTGCCCTACCTTTAAACTATAAGGCCCTTGAGGTTCTACTGAGGTAGGAAGGAGATGGCGCTGTACATGAAGGAAAGGAAGTGGTGTAATCCTGCACCCTAACCCTGGTATTCTGCCAGAATACCGCCCGCAATGACGGCCAGTATTCGGCTAGAATACCACCACCAATAGCGCTTAGAAGAGGTTGGCTGGCTTATACCTTACCTGCCTAGTCTATATATATCAGGGGGTAGGATGGATGAATAGATAAGGTAAGGGTGTTAACCCCCTATGGTAATCGGCTGAAAAATCACTTTATAAAACGCATGAACCACCGTCACCATTTTAGCAGGCAACCCTAGACCCCAACCCTAGTATTCAGCTAGAATACCACCGCTAATAGCGTTTAGCTGGTTAACTACGCTTCTCTGCCCTAATATCACTTAACTAATCCGCTATCTTATAACTAACTAACTGGTCTAAGCTAGTAGGATCTAGAGGTCTTTCCTAACGGAAGGCCTTATTCAACAGGCGGCTTGTCCGCTGTTCCCTAGTTTTCAATAGATAATAATGCTCTTATTGCTTATTACCTCTAATTGTCTTGATTCTAATAAAACTATTCTAAGAAAAAGTTAAAAGTACAAATCAACTCAGCTACCTTTTCACCACCATTCCATGCTTTTGTAGCCATCTCTACGAGCTTAATTACAACCTCTACATCAATACTACTTCTTCGTAGCCTAAGAAGGTCGCCAACAAGCTTCTCGCTACAGTATTTACTTTGTACTGCCGCTCTCAAGTGATCATCTGTAACGTCAAAGTCCTCTGCTCTCTGGTTCATTATTTTCGTAAACATCCAGTCAAAGTTCAAACGCGGTGTTTCGTCCATCCACCAAACCCACCCACCACAACTTTCGATAAGATCTTGCAACTCATCACTTTGTATTCCGGCCCTGTACAGCATTTCCCCGAGAAGATCTGCAGTGAGATTGATCTTTAAATTCGGTTGGTCGAACAAATCTTGTACCAAGAAGAATGCATTGTAGGATGTATTGGTCAAGGCAGCCTTAGCGACCTCTTCTGTAATGAATAGGCCTTGTGGTCGGCTCTCAAGTAGCCGTTTGAATATGCCTAAAGCTGAATGTGTCCTATTAGTGGCGGCTTCCTTCAAAACTTCCGAAGTGATGATGACGTCATGTGGTCTTTCACGGAGCAATAAGTCAAGGGTGTCTGTTTCCTCTGACATCCCTCCTACCAATGCTTTCATCACATCATTAGTAATGACGATATCCTCTTGCTGTCGCTGGAGCAGGAGCGCTATGAGTTTTCCTGTGCGGGATGTGTTCTCTATAGCTGCCTTGATAAGGTTTTGGGTGACAACAACCTCCTTCCGCATGTCGAACAAAAGCTCCAGCTTACTTCTACTAGAGCTTGTCTCTGGAATGATTGTTGCTTCGGCGATTTCTTTGGTGACCTCTATCGTATTTCCTGCACGTTCGAGTAGCAGCCTCAGTGGTCTAGAATCGGTCGCATTCCGTGCCGCCATCATGACCAACTCTTGTGTAAGTTTAACATCTGGCTCTAGGTGGTTCCAAAGACGCTTGATAATACTAAGAAAATCCTCAGGAAGCTCGAGATCTATCTCGTATTGATCAATCAATGCTCCATTATCGTACTCAGATACCCAAAACGCGGCTTCCAGTTGGCCGTTTATGACCCTTGAGAACGTATCTGGTGTTGCATAATGCTGCGTATCGTCGTAAACCAATTCGAGAAATTCAACTCGATGTTCAGATTGCAAGTGGAGTACCAGAGGATCAGGGCGCACATCCCAAGTAATAGATGTTGGCTGCAACAGTAAAGTTGCCACAACCTTTCTTGCTGGCCCAGAAAGTCTTTTTGTGCCTTCCTTGTTCAAGAGTCTCAGAAGCAAACTGCCGCATGACCACATCCCCATTTGGAATGCCAATTGCCAGGATTCTTGCGAGTCGATTATGACGTTCCAGGTTGCTCCAATATTCACTAGCCGCTGCGCCGCTTCTTCTTGACAGCTCTCTATGGCGATGACGAAAGGTGTCTTCCCATCCAAATCAAGGTCGTTTATTCCAATTTTCTCTTGCAACAAAACTGTGATCGCGTCACAGTGACCAAATGCCGCTGCCCAATGCAATGGAAGCCATCCGCGTTTATCTTTGGTCTCTGGATTTACTCGTTGGTCGGCCATCAGCAATGTTATTGCACAATCGTGTCCATTCTGCGATGCGTATGACAAGGGTGTCCTCCAGTCTTCGTCTTTTGTTGTGGGGAGTGCCTGGCTCTTTATCAAAATGCGCACTACTTCCGTATGTCCATTCTCTGCAGCGTAGCTGAGTGGTGTGCGCTTCAAATTGTCCTCGGAGTCTACAACAGAGCCGATTTCCAAACATGCATGAACAATTTCCGTCCAGCCTCGACGGGATGCCCAAGAAAGAATAGTTTGGCCTTCATAATCTGACGCCAAAACATCTCTGACCCGGCTGATTTCGAAGAGGCACTGGTCTCGGTCGTCTTCTTTTAGTGCTTTCATAACTTCTTCGGCTGTCGAAACGGCTTTGGGTCGCTGTTTTCTCCATCTCTCCCTGAACTTGATATACCGATCTATCGTTTCAATGACCATGGAGCATGTGGCTCGGGATTTTATCTCTTCCAGCCAAGATATGCCGTCGAAACCAAACTTTTCGAGCCGAAATCGTCTCGACTCGTTGGGGAAACCTCTGGAGAACTCTTGGGAGGAGTCTTGCGCGTTTTGCTTAAGAAAGGCTTCCCGATACGCATTTCTGTAGACTTCCCCTAGCTCTAGTATGGTAGCGCCTAAGCTCGCGTCCTTTTGGTGTTGAATCCCTGTTTCGAACCCAATCTCCCAGGCCCATCTTAACATTGACTCTGCTTCTGTGAACTTGCCAGCCAGTCTCCTTTTCTTAGCCACGTTGCATACGTCGAGAAGTACATCAATGGGTAAAGGTAGCTTAGAATGGCGACTTAAGGCTGGAACAATTATTGAGTAAGCATCTTGCCGCGAACCAAGGCCACTCTCCAGGAATGAGTCGGCAAGTTTCACAACCACGTCATTGGTTAAGTAAAAACCGCTAGCACTCTCCACTGCACGAGTGTTGTCTGTTATAGTTTCTAATATCGTCGCCATTGCGCCGATGAAGGATTGGTAGATGTCTTGAGCACAAAGACTGGGTAGCTGTTGCTTGGAATCTGTAACCAACGCATATGTGCTACTTGAAGCATGTGCATTCTCATAACTAGTCAGAAGCATTGCACCTGGCCAACCAAAAAGCCGGAGCATTCGATCATAAGGGACCTTGGAAGGTATTCGAGACGACATAATTTCTTCGGAATTATTTGAATGCCAGAGAGTGTTCGCACCCTGGTCATAAAGGGCTGGTGTTGATTTCCACTGCTTAGTCGATGTGATTACCGGCATGTCTTTCATCCAGTACTTGATTACTCTTTCTGCCGATTTCATGTCGTCTTTAGAAGTTCCGACAGCAAGAACTCTAGCTTTAGTTACCCCCGATGCTCCAGATTGGGTACGGTTTTGAGTATCCGAGGATTCCGTGATGGGATTCGACGTAATTGACCAGATCCAAAGACCGAGGACTGCCTCAAGGGAGTACTGATCCACTTCCCACGTCGTCATTTGCTGATTAATATCGGCGCTCGACTGGCGAATGAAAATGTGAACTTGGTGTAATTTGGCATGCTTTGGGCTGGAATTGCCTCCGAGGTTTTGAGAACCGAGGTAATGGGACACCCCTAGGTTGAGACTCCAAACAAGTGATGTGGCTTGCTTCCATTCAGACTTTAGGTACGGGAACAGAATTTGAGCACAGGATTCGATTGATGTTATCAGTTGCCGGACCTGTCTACGCAATGGAACGAGCTGGTCTTCCCAATCTGTAGATGACCTTGCTGTCGTGTTGATTGAGTGGCTCGTCAGTTCGGCAAGCCGAGATCGGTAATGCAACAGCTCTGCGGCTATATGCGGCCTCTCTTGCGGTGTTGGATTCTTGCGTGGCGTAGTAGCAAATTTCATTTTTGATAACCATTCAGCCTCCGCCCATCTCATGGCCCTCTGTGAGCCCGGTGTTTGTTGAGTTTCTGTTCGCTGAGACAAAGCGCCTTCCTCGGTGTCATAAAAGGCGCAGATGCCTACGGTCTTGTGTCCCTTCATGTAGATAAATTTAACAAGTCTGCTAGCTGCTTCTTCGCCGCTCGTTGCCACGTCCTTATTGTTGCAGATAGTAGCCTTCTCAGATCTCAAAAAGCCAGAAACCTGATTTGTCTGTGATTCCGAACTTGGAACAATCGACCAAAAGAGTTTTCTTTCTTTTTCGTCTTTTGTTCCCTCGTTTAAATCTCGTTCGTTACGCATTTGCGTTGCAAGCCAGTCCAGCTCATGTCCCTTGATCTCTTCTGGATGATTGAGAAGTAGATTTTGTTCTGGCCTCAGACGTCCCGTACGCAGTAATGAGCGAACGATACTCATGACTACTATAGTGACCAGTACTACAATAGAAACTGACGCGTGCATTGCTCTTAGGCCAACAAATTGGAAAATAAATCCAAGCATTGTTGCCCCGGTGGCAAGCCAGATTCCCATGTGCCGTTCGTTAGAATGTCTTGGGAGCTTCCACGAGGTAATATATTCTTTCAGTGGCTCTAATGAGTCCGAGAAAGCGAATGAATCGTACATTTGGTCTCCGATTGTCTGGTTACCTGGTTGTGCAACGTATAGGGTTGCGGACGAGGGTTTGGTCGAGTTCTGTGAATCTTTCCGGAAGACCCTTTCTTTCGTACTTCTTTCCACCAGAAATGCACACCAGAACATGCCACAAGATAGAAGTACCGTTCCAACTGCCATAAGGGGAAAGGCCCAAACAGGCGGTTGTGCGTCATCTTTCTCGTATTGCCAGTAATACGTAGCAATCGCGCCAAACACAATGGCAGACATTTGTAAAAGAAATCCGACCATCGCTGCTGCCCAGTAGACGTAAACAGGATGTTTCTTAATACCGATGTTGAAAGAGAGGTTTGGGTGTGGCGCAAACTTGTCGTCTCTGAGATTGTTTGTGTTTTCGGATGTTTTCTTTCCAAACAAATACCGCTCAAGAAACCTCTTGAACACATTCCAACAGCCGTTTCCTAGTTGTCCGCCATCATCATTGGTGCCAGCTACCCCTCTTTCTTTCCAACCTGCAGCTTCAGCTAGCCCCTCGTCGACATAATCTTTGAAGAAGAAGATGCCAGACTTGGGTGGAACAAGCTTTTTCGTGTTGCTAACTTGATAAGAGAAGTCGGCTTGCTCGTTGTCGTGCACGACTTCGATAATCTTGGGGCGACCAAAAACTCGGACAATAGTGCCATTGTGGTAGAGTTCGCAAACATCCCGGCTTGTAGATGAGCACAGTTCCGCTTCAGCAATCCCTCCTCCTTCTTGAGCTCGACCAATGAAGGCGCGTAGGGACAGCCCGCCGCAAACGCGAATCGCAGAAACAACCGCGGTAACGATCCCAAGGGGTGCCATCGCAAAGATGAAGTTGTCCCAAAGCGAAAGTGACTCGCTGAGAAACTGCTTAGTCGCCTGCTCACCAAACAGAGCAAGCAAAGGGGAAAGGTCGGTGGCTAAATTATTCGAGAAGTCATCCCACCAGTCGGCCTGCGCCGCTGTGACCAGAGAGAAGGACATTAGAATACGGGTATAGGCATTACTGATGCGCGGCATTCTCGTTAACGGCTGGAATTTTGTGGGGATAGAGTGGTGGTTTCGAACTGATGAATGCTCTCTAATACTCCAGATGAATTTATGTGAAGGAAGAACGGTGATCGTGGGAAAAAAATAACAGTGCGGGGTTGGCTTAACAACATTAAGCGGTGAAAACCTAAGGGTCGGAAAAGAGGCCGCCTTGCCTTGGCTGCTATTGTATAGTTCATGCAGGCTGCAACGAATGACCAGTAGTGTCTTAAATTTCTTCCAGTAAACAAGGCAAGCCTTGTCTAAAACGACGTAACGTGCATAGGCGAGTCTTTAAATAAGGGGTCTTACAAGACAAACAAGGTAGTTGCCACGGGACGCTGGCGAGACCATGGCGAAATGCTATCATCCGCCAGTGTCATGCAGCTGTCCACACCTAGAGACAGCGCATGCTCTAGAAGTGCGGGGTAATCCGGCACAAAACTGAGGGAAGCCTACACTGCTTAGTTCTAAAGGAACTAAGAATCAGTCTTTATTCTACAATACACCTATTATCTACTATTACACTGCTTCTAACCTACTAATCTATTATAATTCTAATTCTTCTTAAAAGGTTACCTATAGCCGTAATAGTAGAAATTAGTATAGACGCTAAAAGCGGCATACTACCTAGAGGATCTAGAGGTGAGACCCTACTGTAGCGGGATTAGCTACTTATAAACGAGGTAAACAATAGTCCCTTTTTATCGCTACTATAAACCCTAAGTACTATTCAGCGGGAATTAGGACCTAATTTGCTATATAAACGTTGTGATGTAGCCTATGCTTTAGGACCGAATTTCTTAGGACTAGGCATGTCTATACGTTAAGACCGGATTACTTGGGGTTGGATTTTTAGGTTTAGATTTTTAAGACTAGATTGCTTAGGATTAGATTTCTTGGGACTAAATTTCTTACGCTTAGGTTTTTTAAGACTATATTGCTTAGGGTTTTAAGTTAAAGGTTATAAGTTGAAAAGGTTTAAAGAAAATAACTATAAATATAAAATATTTAATTTAGATGCTATATACCTACTACTCCATATATTAATTATATATTAATAGTAGTATACTAATATAATAGTATAATTAGGATTTTATTTATAGTGGAAATATTATCTACTAGTATATTAACTATAGAATTATAATTTGTTTTTTTAAAACTAGATTATATTTAAAACTAGATTGCTTTATTTAGTAGACCTAAAGATAGGTTTAGTGGAAACACGTATGTAAATTGAGTCTAAATCATAAGCATACATTTCAAATTTAAAATCCTCAGCTGCCTTTCTCTACATCGCATAAACAGGAAATCGCACTCAATTGCTCTTTATGCCGCTTACAACAAATAAATGCCACTAAACTTAACCTTACGAGTAACCGCCACATACAAGTGCTATATCAAACGGCGTCTAACCGTTCCGGTTTACACATTTATCATCTGCTCCACTCTTAACAAGCAGCTCGACGACCTCGGACTTGAAGTCATTAGCTGCAAGATGAAGGGCTGTGTTGCCATCAATATCCTTGGCTTCGATAGATATTCCACTTTCTATCAGAAGCTTCATGGTGCTCACCCGCAGGGCTACATGAAGGGCGGTGGCATCTCTTCCATCTCTAGCATTAATGTATGCTCCATTCTCCATGAGATACTTCAAAATAGCATCCTTACCTATACTGGCAGCTCTGTGCAATGGTGAACTGCCTGAATCGTCTTTTTTGTTGACGTCCGCACCACTCTCGACAAGGATCTTGGCTATTTCCACGTTAGGGGCAAAGTGTAATGGATTCACCTCTGGAAAGCATCTTGAGTCAATAGTGGAGCCTTCTGAGATGAGTAGTTTGACTGTGCTCAAGTGGCCATTTTGAACTGCATGAAAGAGGGGCGTTCCTCCCCGAAAATCTTTCGTCTCAATGTCCGAGCCGCTTTCCAGAAGTAGGCGAACAATGCGTTCATGACCTTTTGCTGCGGCTATGGATAGAGAGGTTTGCTCTATGCCCCCTAGCTCGGAATAAGATGTCTTAGCTCTCACATCCGCCCCCAAGTGCAGCAGAATTCGTGCAACATCCTCGTAGCCCCTCTTGGCAGCATGCATAAGGGGTGTTCTCCCTACTTTGTCTTTCAAGTTGATGTGTCTGCTCAGCCACAAACGATCAAAGCTTGTTGCTATGAGGGATGAATTTGTAGCTGCGGGTGGCTCATTCGCTTCGTTAAAGACCCGCGAGCTTCCATCGGCGGCAGTTTCAGTAAGAAAAGCCAGGGCATCCGCGTCGCCGCCAATTGCAGCCGAATGGAATATGGAGCGCCTGCGATGATCTATCCGCTTCAGGTCAAAGTGGCCCGACACGGCCAACAACTTGACGAGAGCAATATGGCGATTCTCGAGAGCCCAGCGAAGGGGGTCTAACTTGGCATCCACCCGGGAGTCAAACAATCCTTTGTAGTCAGGACGAGGAAAAATATCTTGGTTGGATAACGGCATAGATACCTGCCCAAGTAGTGCTCTGGCTGCAAGACGATGATTGTTGGCTAAAGCAGCAAAGAGCGGGAATCCATATCTTTCCCCTTGTACGTGGACGTTTGGGTAATGTTGCACATATTCTTCCAGGAGCCGAACGTAGTTTTTCTCGGCAAAGACATAGGGAAATGTTACTGTAGACTTGTATCGTCGAGTTTCGTGTTTTTCAAGAATGTTGCTAAGGCGGACCCAGTCCTCCAGAGGAAACTGATGCAGGAAGGCAAGCTGTGGAAGTGCCTCTGCAGCAAGGTTGGCGTGGTGAAGCACGTAAGCGGTGGCGTACCCAAGAAACGGAAACTTTTCTGAAGCCTTTTGACGAATTTCTTTTGCCTGTTTTGAGTTTGCCTTCGGAGGCGGATCGCAGATTGTCGAGCCTATCTGACTGGATACAGCGGGCGCTATATATGACAGACAGCAAAGCTTCAGCTTCTCGTGGCTCAAGCCTTGGAAGGCATCGCCGAGGTCCGGCCATAACTCTTGGAGCCCCTTGTCTTTGACAAGGAAGTCTTTTACAGATTCGTGGATGAATTGGACGGTTTTGGACTTGGACTTGGTGATCTCGGCTAGGCCTTTGGAAGAACTAGTGACAAACAGATCAATAGCCTCGCTAGTGACTAGATCAGAGTCACTAGAAATCGGACCCTCGTTATATCCCGGGAGACTAGATAACATGGCGAAATAGAATTCTTGTCGGCTAAGAGGTCGTTTAGCAAATAGTATCCACTGAATGCAGAGCAGCAAATCATCCATATTCTCGTTGTCGCGTGTTAAGATCTCTTTGAATAGGTCGCTTAGTTGATTGGGGATTTCTTGTAACGTCTTTTCGATCGCGAACGTGCGGCCCCGGCGGATTTCCTTGTTCAAAAGCCCAACAACCATCATAACCCACAGGAAGACACCGCCGGCCTTATCCAGTATGCTGGTCCGGATTTTGTCGGCGAGGGGAGCCTCGACTATCCGCAGTTGACTTTGAACAAACCTCTCCAAATCTCGGGAATGTCCGGGCTGGTCCTCAAGAATCAGTTTAAGACCATTCCGGATGTCGATATGAGGATAGTGGCGGCTGGAAAAGCAAGTCTTCAACTGAACACCGTTAATCACACCTAGCTCTTCGAAGAATGCTACCATCTCTTGAACCTGTTCTTCGTCGCACTCGTCTAGAGCATCAACGAAACAAGTTAAGCGGCGTTGGCCCAGCAACTTGACGGCGTTACAAAAAAGTTCTTGCAGCGTCTCGATCGGAGGACATGCTGTCTGCCTGAGCGGGATGAGAACCAAATCGTCCAGGACGGTTTGCAGGTCGCAGAAGGTCTCAAGTAGCTGAAGTAAGATGGATCGGAATAAACCGAATGTCGACTTCTCCAGGCTGTTTCCTCGTGCGTTGAAGAAGAATGAAATGGTTGCAGTATCTGCCTTGGATGCTCTTCTTGCACGATTGAACAAAAACTTCATGAGCGTCGATTTTCCGGCACCGGGTTTTCCACTGATCCAAAGAAATCCATGGTGCTGGGCAGCTTTGGCAGGATCGAGCCAGTCTTTGTATATAGGTTCTTGGAGGAGCCATTCACAAGTCTGGGAAAGCGTTTTTTTTATGGTAGCATGGCGAGCCTCGACTTCAGCGAAGCGAAGTAACTCCAACAAGACTTTTCGACGAGCTTGTAGCTTCTCTTGAACTGCGTGCATGTCAGCCAGGTCTCAACATGTACGATGCTATACACCCTTACTATTCTCATTAGGGCATTCCGGGGACCAGGGATGTGATGGGCTATTGGCAGCTCTCGGAGTGATAACACTCAGGAGTTCTTTCGCATAGGCCGCCGCAGTTGCTGCCGCGTATTTCTGCCACTGTGCGTTCTTGTGTGAGTCTGCGTAGTCACAGATTCCGCGAATAACTAAACAAGGAAAGCTATCGATGAGACCAGCTGCCTCCATCTCGAAGCAGATGACATCGAGACTCTGGGCAAGGGTTTTTCGAGTGATTCCACATTTCATCAGTTGGTTGCCGGAAGCAACGCCACCGTAGTGGATTTTTGGCTCTGGGGATGGGCGGTGAGGCCGATGTTGTAATTCGCACAAACTGCATCGACTACAATCTGGTGCAATGCCATGATCATACGTGGCCTTGAACAAGCGGTCGTCGCATGAGGCGGGATAGCTGTAGTCAACCATGTTGGGATGGCGCTCGTGCATGCGGTCGAGAAAGGAAGGGACTTGGCTGGATGTTGTCTCGTGAAGTGCGCGCAGCTTTGAAACGGCGTTAAGGAGAACTGGGGGCGGCACCCTCGGTATGGCGGTCCGTTGGACGACTTGACCAGGAAAGACCTTGACCATGTCGTGTTGAATGACATGTTTGCCAACTACGATGTCGCCCAGGCGTATATCGACAACATCAGGGTCAGGGGCGCCACCTCCAATTCCAACCATGAATCTAAGTTCAAGGCTAGGAAAACTCCTCGTCATATTACCGGCCACGGTTGCGGCATTGTTAGTCCCGTATTGACCAGCGGGCAGGCACGCCATGACGACATTATGTTCGCCAATGCTTCCCAAGATATACGAATTCGAATCATTAGCTGTCGGTAAGTCTTCGTGAATTCGATCGAGCATAGCAAGGCTTGCAGCCATCTCGATGTGAAGCGCGCAGATCCATCCCACAGTGTAGGCTGAATGCTGAAGTCTGACTATTTGTCCTTGCCCTGGATTCTGCAAGCATTGATACCTTCCGTGCAGTGTTCTCTGCTGCTTCACCCCTTTGATTGTGGTGTCGGTTCCATTGTCGTCGGGGCTCAACGCTCTCTTCTGGTGGGCGGAGAACATCTTGATTTCATAGCCTGCCGGCACGCATATTCTGCGCAAGTGGTTACGGCTAGTGACGATAATGCTGGCGACGCAGTAAGTCGTGGCGGGTCCGGCAAACCTCTGAAGCGATCCAAATTTTCGCTGCAATAGGGTTGGAGTTGGTAAGAACAAAGTTCACTGGCGATACTGGTCTCACAAGGCTGCGAAATGAATTATGTTGGCATGAGGCGCAGTCGCTAAGCAACCAACAGAAATCGCTAGACATTTATCGGGGCTCGCAATTCTGTGTCCAATCAGAACATTTCTATGCAGTATCTTCTGGAAAGAGAGCGTATTTCGCTTAATTTTTCATGTCCCAAATGGGCGTGAGCGCTGAAGGGACACGTCAAAAGGAAGGACCAGGTGCCAACAGAGATTTAATCTAAGCTGGGAGGAAATTTACACATGATTGACATACCCTTGCACTTTGCAAAGATATCATCCTGATTTTTAGGGATCTCGTCTAGCCAGCTCACTGAATAGAGCATCCTTAACCCCCTCCTTGTTGTTGTGACCTGTTAAGTATAATAGGACCAGGGGGCGCTCCGCAGCGCACATGGCGGCTACAGGACATTTATATGCAGATCACAGGAGCAGAGAAGGACAACGGAAGAACGACGGTATCGATCACGTGACCTAGGATAATAGATAAGCTCTCGTATGTCAAGAGCACGGAGCCGTATGCTCGATATACCTGTTGCGACCATTACGCATAACATGGAATAACCGGATCCTGCGCAATGTCGTCATCAACAGTCCCTCTGATGACAACGACCAAACTCTCAACCTTGACAGATTGGGAAGACAGCCAGACATACATTTGGGCGTGCACATGAATCGTACAACTCCCTGGAATCGTCACATTTGGTGTAAGATGATTGCAGGTGTTTCAACCAGGAAGAATACGTACTCACCACATCCAGCCCATGTGTTCTAACAGCTAATTTTTCTACATCTTGTTGAAAACTACGCAGTGGAATTGATGGGATGATTGAGTGTGTATTGTGCAAGACCTATCTTTCCCTTCGGGAGTCTCGGGATGCTCAACTAACAGAAGTTGGGCCAGCAGTGGTTGGGTCACGTGACTAATCACAGCCATAGGAAAAATGTGTCCAACAGTTGTTGGTCTAACTGCTGTCCATGTGTAATCCAACACATCTCCCCCACCCCAAACTCAATCCATCTTGCATAACAAGCCAGATGTTGACTTTGGAGCAGGACGAGCTTAACACCTCGATTACCAACCCTGTCTGGGTCCTGGTATCGGTTTCGAAGGGCATCGGGCTGTGTGGCTATAGCCTTAAAGACCTTGCTTAACTACGAATAGCCACGAGAGAAGTTCCCTCAAAGAATGGGACGTGCCCCTAGATCATCTTGTTTCACACGCCGCCATAGCTGCGAGGCACCAAGTCCAAGACATAGGAACAACGTCGCTTGCCTTACAAAACGAGAACCGGAACCCCCGAAGAAGAGCATGATCGAACGAGTTGTAAATTAGCATAAACGCGCGAAACACCCTTGTCGTTTCCGCCTCTCCCCAAGGGCCCAAGGCGAATGAGGTCCACACAGGCAGCAAATCATTCAAACACGAGTTACTCTACGTTTGAAGTTAATATGGATTAAGGCGTTTTTGACGGCCTCTAAATGTGTTCCGTACTATAAACAAACAATTGCAGCATTTTGGTGGGGGGGTCTGTTTGGTGGCATTGTTTCCTTGTCAGTAAACCATGCCAAAGGTCCACTGGGCTGGCTGTTCAAGATACATTGCGATGGTGAATTCTTGGATGAATTGAAGGCGGTGGATTTAAATCAACTAGCGGTGAAAATCGATAGCGTTGAGCAGAAGCACCACAGCCCTCTCAGAAAAGAAAAATTTTATCCGTCCATTATAATCTCCGCCCCTCGAAGCCCTTGCCCGCTTGCTGTACTCGCTCCTGTTCAAAATAATGAAGTTCAGTTACCAGGGCCATTTCAGGCATGGATGGAGATGTAATACGGCGAAATGAGGCCACAGGGTGACCACAGCTGGTTGTCTTTATCAGGCATTTACGAGATCAATTCCGGTCGCGAACACGCCGCCGACCTCCATTTCCATCCCAGAACTCATCCTCAGTCAACCGCGGCTAACATCATCGATCGTGATGTTGTAGGTGCATCTGGTCTCGGCAGCATGTACATCCGCTTCCCACTGTTGACGCGAGCAATTTGCCTTCTTTCACAAAGGTGCCTGTTGGAATCACAGGGTATCTGTTGTATATAACAGGACTGCCCGTATGGGCTGGAGCTCGCTGAATATCAATATGGTATATTCGGAAGCTGTAAATCGGTATGTAGAAGGGAAAGTAGAAGGTTGGCAGCGGCAGCAGCGGCAGTGTAGATATAGCTGTTGGCAACCTGGAGATGTAATCTCCGGGCTCCGCTGCTGCAGCCGCTGCCGCGGCCGGCGGCCGGCAGCCTGGCTGCTGACCGCCCGCCTGTATTCTGGTCACGTAATCCAACAGTGCCGCTGTCAATGTCATTCCCGTGCCCTTCATCTTCAAACCTCCCAAGGTCCCAGTGACGCCGGTTGTTACGTTGTCAATTCGCTCTCATCCTTTTCAATCGCTTCTTTCATGTCGGCGACGGACGCCCACGCTGTGTCGGCCAGCACCCATCTTGTTGCTAGAATCTACTTTGGAAAGCCTCAACTCATTGTCAATATCTCGTCTGCCCGAACCGACGAGTTTAACCCGGACGCCGACATCTGTATATAAGGTGCATTCTGTGAAGGCGTCTGGCTCAAAAGGCCACTGAAGAAATACAATACGAACATGGATCCTCAAGAAAGTGAGCACAGCGAGAGATCCAACAGCGAGGAGTCCCTTGATGAGCACGCCGAAAACTTAGCTCCTCGGAACCACAATTTTGTCGATAATTATCCTTGGGAGAAAGTGTGTCTATTCTTCCTAGCTGAGAACTTACGCCAAGTCTAATGCAGATAAAAGTAATAAAACTAAAAGAATACATGTAACGGCATTGCGGAGCTTGAAATGCCACAACTACGGTTCTTAAATTTAATGTCGAGACAGGCCCTCAACCCTCTTTTGCCAATCTACAAATCTTTAGCATTCTTTTCTGCTACCTTTTTTTTTATTCTTGAATATACTACTAATTTTTACTTAATCTTCTACGCCAATGCTGCATATACCTATTCACGCTACTCGTAACCCTTTACCCTAACAATGGCGTCTCTACTTAAATCAAGTTGCCTGATCCCGTTGTTGCAAGTTGGTTTTCTCCTTAACGTTAGAGTTTAGGCTCTTTAACGTTCTTTATATCTTGTTCTGCTTAATACCTATGCTTCTTAAGCCATCCTACTAGGTCTGCTTCCGCGTTTCCCTACAGCTCGGCCTTCTTCTTATCATCTAGTTCCTTAAGCGCTAACATACTGCTTAGCTAGTATAGATATAAGAACTTCTACAACCGTATAAGGTTATAGATCTAGTTGACGCTCTCGATATAGCTAGAAGCAAAAGCAGCACTTTCCTATAAAACTATATACTACATCTTAGCAAGCTTTCACCTTTTAGTAGAACTACTATCTAGATCTACTAGTAGCGTAGTAAAGTCCTCTAAGAGAATCACCTAGTTAATTATAGGATCTGTATTGTTAATATTTCTACTAGTATAGCTAAAAGACATTAAGATAAACTCCTTGTTACGGTCAGATATCCGACAGTGGTGTTTTCTGCTAATAGGCAGCTGAGGTCAATACTTGGTAACAGTAAGGTAAGTCTTGTTAGTAATCTTGCTGGTCTGTTGGTGTCTGGTGATCAGTCAGGTACGTCTAGGCGTAGATAGCTTTATAGCTTTACAATAGAAGGATAATCTAAGAGTTACTTATAAGAGAGTGAATCACGAAGTTGCTTGCTGAAGAGCTATGGAAGGTATCTAGTCTAGTTGGAATGATTGTCCTTATATCTTATTGTTGCCCTATTAGGACTGATCTCTTGAAGTTGGTCCTTGATAAGGACTGATCCTTGGCATGTCGGTCCTGGGTCATGGACCGCTTATTTGTTGTTAGTTCTTCTTATTTTTATGTAACTTTCCTTAGTTCTTCTGTTCTAAGAGGGAATTAACATGTTCCTGTGCTATCCTGTATATAACCTTGTCTTGTAACCGCTAGGCGCCTATAGGGCAACCCTGGTTATGTTATGCTTGTTGGGTCATAACATTAGGTCTCCCCTCCAAAGGTCTTACCCTCAAGACCTTATAAGTAGGTCATCCCTCCCAGGTTAGGGAGTTATTAAACTTGCTTCTTTATTTATTCATAATGCTAACACTATATTAGGTTATATAGAAAAATCAAAACTGAAGGTAAAATCTTAAAAGATAGAGATAAAAGATCATGAGCGCTTTGCGCTTCTGGAGTTTATTGAAGCTTGTTCCATTGTTGCTGATATGCCTTGCACTCGTTGTTTTCGTACAAAGACCGCTTGTTGTTTTAGCGAAGGCTCTTCTTGCTGTTAAAGCTGTATTAAGGCTAAGAAGCCTTGTAATGGTGTTTTGGTGGCTTTTACTTGTGAGTGTCCCTTGATTGGGTGTGGTCTTTTCTGTCTGACCTTCGTTCATAGTATAAAAATTGAATGCTTAGTAAAAGGAGTAGGATGAGAAAGAGGAGGCAGTAAGTGAGGAGCTTTTGAGGCTTCACGAGGAGCTTGTTTGATTATAGTCTTTGATGGCTATTGTAGCTGGTTATTTGTCTAGGATTTGGAAAACTTGGAAACTTGTTTGTAAGCGTTAAGCTAAAACTTTTCGTTATAGTATGTAAGAAATCAATGAGTTTAATGCCCTGGAGTCAGTATTAGATGCTTATGAACGGGGAATGGTGGAGGAGTTGTAGTTCATGTAGGTGCCTAATGACGTAGACTGGTCCTTGTATAGGCTTAGTGATGAGTTCTTGGACTTGGGGCTGTTGGTGTAGGCGTCTGGTTCCAAAGTGTCTATAAGTTG